GCCTCCCAATGAGGAGTTCTGCTGCCAATATATGGAGGAGGGAAGTGCACCAGGATAATTGGTTCCAGTCCCAGCTCTGACACTTACTAGCTGCATAACTATNACCTCCCAATGAGGAGTTCTGCTGCCAATATATGGAGGAGAGAAGTGCACCAGGATAATTGGTTCCAGTCCCAGCTCTGACACTTACTAGCTGCATAACTATGGACAAGTCTCAGTTTCTGTTTGTAAAATGGGGATAATAATACTTTAGCTACTGACCTTTCAGAGTTGTGTGGCAAGGGCTTCATAAACCTCAAAGTGCTACCAAAATGTATTATTATCTATGAATCTTGATTAGCCAGTCCAATGGACAATGATACCAATTATAGTCGCTGCTTCTTTGGCACATAGTAGGCATTTAATTAATGCTTATTGAGTGCCAGACTGACTGACTGATGGGAGGATTTAAGTTTGGTGGGGCTTTTAACAGCCACAGGAGGAATCTATAGAAGAAGATGGTGGCTTGAATACTAGGGATAGAGGGAATTTAGGATACCCATAGCTTGCTTCTATCAGGTCCTTATCTAATCCACCAAGGAGGTCAGACGCCCAGCTCTGGGGACCGCCAGCCCCGCTCCCCTCCCTCTGGTCTTGTCCCTCAGTGAGAGATTAGCTTGGCTGTGATCTTGGGACTGTCAGAGTCACATCACCCACTTCATATCCTGACTGCTATTTCCGGAGATGGATGGTGGTGCCAGGGTACATGGAGAAGGGCCTGACTTACGCTTATCTGTCCCACAGCCCTCATGTTTAAAGCCTTTAAGGAGGACAGAGCAGAGGGAACATGATGGCAAGTGGGGGTGGGGCGGCCAGGCTATTGACTCAAGAAACATTTCAGGGGGCCCAAACAAAGCTCAATTTTCTTGAGAAAACTTCTCACGAACCCGCCCTGGCAGGGGCATGGACCACACTATGGTGATGGGCCCCTTGTAAGACCAAATGCCCAGAGAGGTACAGATGATTGACTCACTAAGTTCCCAA